TTTCATATTTAATGCTAGATGTAAGGATCTTAAGCTGACCATCTTTTGTCTCTCATAGAAGCATTTGTTTTGGATTCTATTAGAAAATCTATAGGATGCAGATTTATGAATGTTGTCATTAGTTAAAATTTCTTCAAAGATGCAGTTTGAAAGAATGAGTCAGACAACTGTAAGGAGGGAATCATCTAATTTTATGGTTCCAAAAATAAAGACTAATTTTGTAGACAGCAATGTAGAGGAATTTGGTGAACTATTTCTCTGGATAGTGAAGCCTAATTTTGCAGCAGGCTCTCTATTATGAAGGTAAATGTCAGAAACGAACTCATTGTGTTGTTGTTGCTTCAAAAGTGCAGTATTTGGTAAATGAAAATTTTGAGTATTTTTTGACATTATAGAAGTGCTAATTGTTGCTTCACAAGTATTATATCTTATTTTATGAACATTTCTTGATATATCTGGAGAATAGATAAAACTTAACATCATTTCACACTTCAAATGTATCATTCAATGTTTCATGAGTGACCATAAACATAAGAGAAATCTTATTTAATCTTTCAAAAGTAGGATTTGTAATTTTGGAAATTTCATTTGATATTTGACAAATCTCTAACTTTTTTTAGAAGTATCACTTAGTTTTAAGAGTTTCATTCAAGCATTCACAGGTACTGCCTGAATTCTGGTTTGATCTCTGCTCTTAACTGTACTCAGAACATGTTTCTCCTTCAGCATTTATATTTTCAAAAAGAGAAAAAAATAACTTAGAAACATGGCTAATTTAGTTTCTTTTTTTTTGAAAAAGACAAATCTTTTCCTCAGGTTCTGTCTCATTGGTTTTCAAAAATTTTTTTTTTTTTTAAGATTCTAAAACAAAATTAACATATATAATCAAACAAGAGGAGTGTTGGGAAATGATATTGAAATGTTTTCCTGCACATTTCTGACAAGTTTTGGTATAGACCACTTGATTAGGGTCCAAGCAATTAATATTTCCAAAGGTCATGAACGTATGAACTTTTCTTGCATACTAAATATGTTTAAATATCTCTATATTTCTGAGATGAGGTATTATGTACACTATTTACATTGTTCGGACTATCGCCCTCATCTTTGTTGCCATATTTATCACGTTTCAGCTTTCTTCAGGTGGTTGGAATGTCAAACTGAACCCTTTATTTCACTCGCTGGGGTAGACTGTTCTAGTCATGTCTAATGGAGGTCAGTCATCAGTTATGTCCTGTTAATTCACCTCTCCAAGTTTTGCACTGCCTTAACCAGGTATTGAACTCACTCTTTGGGTCGTGTCACTGGATGTAACTAACGCCTTTATCCACTGTGCCATGTGTCCTTGATATTTAATAAGCTATATTAAGTCTACCCCCAATAAACCATGTGCAAAAAATGAATTGCAATTTTTTTTTTTTTTTTTTACTTAAATCTACATTTCTTAGGATACTAAAAAATAGAAATTGTCTACACTTGTAATCCTCAGCCTCCTCCTTCAGTTGCTAGCTATGCTGTGTTATGCAACACTAACCTTGCAGCTTATTTGGCTTTCTTTTCCTTCCTTGGTTTGGAGCCAGTGCATCTTCTCAGTAGAGTTGATTAGAATTTCCCAAAATCTTACAAATTGAGGTTGACGGCAATGCCAAGTGGTAGACCAAAATATACATTGTGTACTGCAGATGAGAAATGAGTTATTCTCAACTGCATCTGTGGTAACTTTCATCTTTATATCATGAGACATTGGGAATTAAGACTGGAATAAGAACTCCTTCAATAAAATGAACCCTGTTGCTAACACTAACAATCTGGTGAATATAATGTCTCTACTATCTACTGAAGGATTAATTTCTACTCCACTGGATAGTGATTCAAAAAATATAGCAGTAACTGCTATAATTTGGTGACAGGAAGACTGCCTGTCACTTATTACTACTTCTGTCCTGTCACATGTTCGTTTTGGCCACAGAAATGCAGGTGTATCATGACAGTGACAGGCTAGTCTGTGTTGCACATGCAGAGTAAATATGAGATGACTCACTTTGGGCTCTGTGGGTCTTTGTTTATATAAATGACCCCAACCAACTTAAAATTTTACATTGAAAATAGAAAAATTAGATACACCAATCTGAGATTTATTCATAAACCACATGATTTCATCTGTTTAAGAATTTAGGTCATTCTTTTTCTATAATGTAAATGTTTTGGGTGGATAGTATTAATGTGAACAAAGCCAGAATTTGGGTTCTCAGGACCAAGAAATTCGGACAACACAATCATGTCATCTTATGGAAAGGAAATGAATACGTTGGGAGAAAATTTGTTTTTTCTCAATTTCACTGAATCTTGATTAGTTATTTCTGGGTACAATTCTCTTTGGAATTCTTCTTACATTCATTTTATTGTTTAAATTTTGTTTCTTTTTACTTCTCTATTTCCTTTGTCAAGTCATTTTAATGGTTGTAGATATTAGAATCCCTTAAGGAGATGTACGGTGGAGAGTGGGGAAAAATAAACAAAAATGAAAAACAAACACTACATATAATAGAAAGTCACCTCTTTGACTGCAATGAATGAGATGGATAGGAATCCAAGAAGTATTTAAAAACTTACTAGAAAAAGTTTTCAATTTAATCATTTAAAAAAAAAAAAAAAAAAAAAAAAAAAGAGAGATAGCGATCTTTGTATAGATTCATTTCTAACAAAAAGAAAGGTTTCATTTGCCAAAAAAATGTTGGTGGCAGTTGGATTCCACACATCTGATTACCACAATATTATAGAGGCCACTGACATATTACATGTGTGGATGATTTAACTATCATCAAGCAGATAAGGATGCAAATCAAGTACCTACCAGTGAATCAGTTTCAATTATGATTATCCAAAATTGAGATTTCCTGCTGCTGATTTTTCATACATACCCTTTGCAATATTGATTTCAACAAAATGGAATTTCCATAAAGACAGAAACAGATAAACACAGACAGACAAGGATTTACATACAACTGCTGAGCATGGTTAGTTTTCTTTTTGGTTTATTATTGAAATACAACAATATGACACTGTGGCATTCTCTTTCAGACATTTGATGGATCCTTCTTTAAAACATACTTATTTGACAGTGCCTGCTATTTAAACAGTGATTCATTTGTTTGGTATGGCAAACTTTGTGGTTATTCCTTGTTGGTTGTTGTAGCAGCAATCAAATTCAGTTTTTGCAAAATTCTGTTAGCATTTAAAATTAACTTGTTCCAATCATACAACAAAAATGATTTGTCATCAATCTAGAAGAGACATTCATCGTTACAACCTTTTTCAAACATTTCACGCTAAAAACTCTAAGAAGCATCAGACAAACATGGTTAAAAGAATCTTACTGAGGCATTTTGTGGACAACAAGTAAATTGGTAATGGTTTTCCAAAACAAAAAAAAACCTGATGTTAATTATTATTCATCTCTTTTAGAGAGCTTTCAAAATAATAATTCACAACAGTTTTTTTGCTTACATGTAAACTGGTAGAATATTTCAGTAATTGAATGTGCAAAAAAATGAAAACATTACAATCATTTAAGTGTCTAAATTCAATTGTAACAAGTTGTTAAAATTTACTATGAATAAAAATTCTGAATAAGAAAATGAAAGCCATCAGATTTTGACTAGTTTACTGACTAAAAAGAACTATTATAAAAAAGACAAAATGAAAATAAAACGGTTTCTATTAGCATATGTTAATGACAAGCATCAGAGATTGTTTTTTTTTTTTTCAACATTTAGGTGAATTGGCAGTTTGTAGACAGCCTTTGATGACTGACAACAAAAGCAAAGAATCAGTTTCTTTTTGAAGTTCAAAATTCAGTACAAAGGACAAAAAATGTTTTTTGAAGTTTCTTTTTTGTTTTTAATTTCAGGAACAATTTAAAAATTCTTTTTATCAGTTTTACCATTTAAGTTTCCTCCTGCAGTTTTATCTTATTTTTTTTTAAAGATTTTCTTAATAGTGATGCTGTATTCCATTTCGTAATATTTTGCAGCTGGCTCCTTTAGAGTGTGTGTGTGCCCATGCACATATGTATCAGAGAGAGATTGCATGAATTTTGTCAGTTGGAGACAGATGCACACACATGCAGTGTTTGGTAGTGCACATATGCATGTGCATATACACACATTGCAGTGAGGTTCATGTAGATGTAGGAAATAAACATACAAAAATCCAAATTTCTAAAATCAAAAGTTCTGAGAACATTGAGCATGAAAGCAGGATGTGGGTTTTATTATCTTTAACTAAAGAGTGAGGCAATGAAACAGGATGACATTGACCAATGACAAGAAGACAAGTCAACAAATGTTTTGTTAGGAAATCTGTGACATTTCTTATAAATATCCCTGTTTCATGGGATGTGAAATGATGAAAGTTTAGCGTCTGAAAGGAGGAGGCCCACTCCTGGAAGGTTCATTGAGTTCCATGGGGGCGCTTTGCTGGAGGTCCTCGAGCATCATCAAGTGTGGTGGGACATCTGCTTGCTGTAGCAAATGTCCCACAACTATTCTCCACCATAGAGCTCCCTGGGCAGTAAGCCATCTTTGATACTGGGTCCTCAAGAGGAAATCCTTGAGAAGATATGAGAGATCCTCTGGAGGAAATAATCGGGTGCTAGCTCGATATAGGACATGGGGGACTCCCTAAGTATTGCTAAAGTTGGGGTATTGGGCGAAAAGAATATGCTTCATTGTCCTGACTGTTAGATATGTAGTTGGTTAAACAGCCTTCAAGTTATCATTGGCATCCAAATGTGACAAGTATAAAAACGGAAGAATCCAGAAGTGGTTTTCAACAGTGTGACATTAACTACACTGGTAACTCTAAGATATTCTTAATGCTGCGATTGTAGTTGTGACATGCAGAGACCTAACTATAGGTAGCACCCATCTCCAATACACCAGCACCGTTCATTCTGCTATTAAATATCTTTGCCATCAGCTAAACCCACATCTTTAGAATTAGTTCTCTTCCTGTGCCTTTTGCAACTTGGCCTGGTGTTTGTTGCCACTCATATGAGCTTCCAGCTGCTGTAATGAATTCACAGAAATATTACAGTAGACACAAGTAAAGCTTTGTTTCTTCTCTGAAGATACAGGTAGTTTTAAATTATTAATAGCAGTAACAAAATTGGTTTCCATCTGCTTGTCAGGATCCATCTGCAGCAGCTTTGACTGATGTTTCTGGCCACTTTTATGGGCTTCCAACTGTTGAAGAGAATTCACAGTAACATTGCAGCATTCACAAGTGAAAACACCTTTCTTATCAAAAGAAGAAGGAAGTGCCATATTGTTGGAGACATTCATAACTGAATCTTTATTTTCCATCTGCATACCTGGTTCCATCTGTGACACCTTCGACTGGTGTTTGTTACCATTCTTATGAGCTTCTAACTGATGCAGGGAATTCACCGTAATCTTACAGTATTCACAAGTGAAGACAGTTTTCTTATCAAAAGAAGAAGGAGGAAGTGGTAAATTATTAACATCACTTTCAATTGGATCTTCATCCATTTCCATTTGCTTGTCTGGATCCATCTGCTGCATTTTTGACTGGTGTTTCTGGCCACTCTTATGGGCATCTAGTTGTTGAAGAGAATTCACAGAAATATTACAGTAGACGCAAGAAAAGACGCTTTTCTTATCAAAAGATACAGCATTTTGTGAAGTATTGTCACTTCCACCAACAGGATCATCTTCTGTTTCCATTTCATTGGATGTTTCCATTTGTGTTAGTTTGGCCTGGTGTTTGCTACCACTTTTGTGAGCATCCAGCTGGTGCAAGGAATTTACAGTAATCTTACAGCATTCACAGGTGAACACTTGTTTCTTGCTTAAACCATGTTTTTCACCTGCTGCATCAAGTAAGTCGCCTTCTTTATTTTCCTTTATTTGATTACCTGGCTCCATCAACCGCATCTTCTTCACATGACGAACACTATTGAAGTGCTGAGAAGCCTGCTGTTCAGAGTTGAAATTAACATTGCACACATTGCAAGAGAAAGGCTGTGCTTGTGCTTTGCGCTTAGTAGGTAATTTATTCACAGGCATGTTATATGGAATTTGCGGGTTAGGGCTGGGATAGAGATCAGTAGCATTATTAGCAGCATGAAATGGAATAGCATAGCCCCCTGGTTCATCAGCTTGCATCTTTTGATCAGGCATAAAGTTGAAATGGGCATTTGTAGAAGATGGTCCATAAAAGGAATAGTTACCAGATGGTGGGCCAGAAAAATCATGTGGACCTACAAACAACACAATTAGAAAATTGTTTACAAATTTAAAAGGAAAAAGAAGTTTAACTTTCACATAACAGCCACTTTAAAAAAAAATAATTAAGAAATACTTGAAAAAAGAAAATGAATTCCATTATTGACTGAAAACATTAGTTGTAGTTACACATATAAACATATATGAAATAGGGTTTATTATTCCCCCCTATAAATGACCATTATTGATAGAAGATCCAGATGGAATACCAGGCAATAAAAAACATTAACTAAGATTGTTTTAAGGCATGGCACAGAGAAACACCAGAAACAAATTGAAAAGCGTCTATTTACAGCTTACACAATTTGTTTCCACATTTTCATTGTCTGATTGCAATTCATGTTCAACTTACCATAATTTCTGTAGGAGTCATAATCATGAGGCAAGAGGCCACTTCTTTCATAGTCGTGGCTAAAAAGAAAAGAAAAATATAATTTACTGATTTCATACTTTAGAAGATGCAATTTCTATAACTTATTTCATTCTAGTGATATTCACACAAATAAAAACTATCAGTCATTTATGCTGATTCTTTTTTATAGTTTTATAAATTAATCACACAAAATATTTGTCATCATTAACAAGGAGGCAAACAGCTATTTTTTAAGAACAGAAAATTATTTTAAAATATGAAAGCTTTCTAGTCTGTAAAGAATTGTAGCCTGAATTTTGATAAAAAATAGAAATTAAGATTTAATAAATTAATTATTAATTATAAAATTTAAAATGTGTCCCGAAGACCAAAAAGATCGCAACTCTGATGTCAACAAGCCAAGCCAGTCACACAGAGGATCCTTTCCAACACCCTCCACTAATTCACAATACAATAGTCTCCGAGGCAGAGAAAGGTCTCTGGATCGAGGAATGACTTTCAAGGCCAACCGACACTTGCTGAGGAAACGTGACAACCTTCCACGAGACGCTTACCCCAAGAAATGGGAGAGGTGATAAGGTGTCCCTAACACTCCATGCCAAAATCAAGCCCTCTGTCAAAACGTGGTGTAGGAAAGCCAACCTTGAGGCATGGCGATGACTCTCCAGGTGTGGCAATTCTAGCCCCCCTTGATGACTTACAGACCCAATGTTTGTGACCACTCCACAAGAGGGTGATCAACAAACACTTTCTCGCCTACAAATGGGTCCCACAGAGAAGCAAGCAGTAAAGGATGAGGGGCAAAACATAAGTAGCACACACCTCAGCCCTACCCTTTAAGGACATTCACCTTTGGAGCGAAGTCTGGACCAACGCTCTAACTTTTGCCTGTACTTCTGAACAATTCTTCTCCAGCTGGGGTCCAGGCCTAAACCACACTGCAAGAATGCAGACCATCAGTCCAACCAAAGGCCCCCGGAAGCACAACCCCTTTCCAGAAGACTTGTTACAGTTAATCTTGGCCCCCATCGCCTTCTCATACTGTTCAAGTGCCTTCTGTACCACATCAATGTCACGACACAACACAAAAATGGATATGTCATTGGCATACACAGAAACCCTAGATTGAGCTCTACCAGGGAAAACATCTAGTTTGTGTAGGGCTGGATTGCATGCCCTGTTCCTCAGCCAGTGAAGGAGGGGCTCCAACGCTAAAGCATAAAGTAAGGGCAACAGCAAACAACCCTGTTCAACTGACCAAGAGAGCACAAAAGCGCTCGACCGATTCCCGTTCACCTGTAACGCAGCACTGGGGGAGCGATACAGGTAGGTGACCCACTTGCAGAAGTCAGGTTCAAATCCAGCAGCTTGCAGAACAGCAGCCAGGTACCAATAGTCAACCCTGTCAAATGCCTTGAACTGATCCAAATTGATCAGCGCAGCTTGTTTGTCATCTTTTACACCCTCTATGATCGTGCGGATCAGATGCAGGTTGCTTTGAATAGTTTGTCCCCTCACAGTACAAGTCTGCTCAGGTCCCAACAAGCTTGCGACAACTGACTGCGACCTCTCCGTCAGGATCTTGACCAAAATCTTTAACTCTGGCACAAATTTAGAAGACAGAAATAATTAGTGCAGATATTGTCATTATATATAAAAATACAACCAATCATGGAGAACACTCAGGATTTTCATAAATGCTAAAGCATTTTTTAATGCAAGCTTGAACACTGTCTTCTACTTATTTTTGTTTACCCCCATGACTGGTTATATGTGCATATAGTGAGAAACTATTGTTACCAGTCATGTGGAGAGGCCAACCATTGATCAAATTTGGAAGCTCATTAACAAACTGAATATTTCAAGACATTTTTCATCTTTGTCAATCTATTCAAACATTAATTTTCATTCTATACATTCTATTCAAATGTGTAAAAAAAGTTAGCAACACCTATAAAGTTGCTACATATTAACAACAAATCTATGCTTTTTTTTTTTTTATTTCTCCCGAACTATTATCAAGTTTCTACATTCTTAAAAGTGAAAACTGTATTCTTCAACTTTTGCTTAGAGAGGAAGGAGGAGCCCATTTCCAAAACCAAGATATTCTTCTCAATGAGTAAGCATTCAAGTCCAGAACAGATGAAGTGCTCTTTAAGGCAACAAACTTTAGTAATGGTTGCATTAAACAGTGAATATTTCACTACAAGAATGGAATAAGCTTGTTGCAAATTTATGACAAAGAAAGCGGAATTAGGTTGCTGTGTGTGTGTGTGTGGGGGGGTGACCTGAGAAAACACTGACCTCTCATTTCTATAATCTCTCCTCATTTCACGTGGTGGAGATGGTGCAAAATCCCTGTTTCTTAAAGGTCCTCTTTCAGGAATACCCATGGACAAACGGTCTCCTCTGCCTGCAAAAAAATTTAATTTATTATTTCATAATTGAGAAAACCTTGAATTAATAACTAAATGTGAATTGCACTAATATACAATAGGAAAGCAAGTTTAACCATTAACCAGAGAAAAAATAAGCCAAGAGGAGGAGAATTTATTTTTTAAATCTTCAGACAAGAAATGAAATCTTTAGAAGAAAAATCGATATTTTTTGTATTCACAAATAGTAACAATAATATAGATACAGTAAGAAATAAAATTGATGAGTTTACCAAAATTTGTTCTTCCAGGAATTGAATCCAAGTTCCCTGGTGGTCCAAGCATCGGAGGAACACCTGCAAGTGAAGGGTCTCTAGGTCCTCTCGCAGGTATAGGCGGTCCTTGAGAATTGACATGAAGAGGTGGAGGAAAAAAGTTATTGTGAGGACCACCACGGAATGAACTGAAAATAAAGATTTGCCATAAAGTAGATATTGACTAGAGAGGGGAGAAAAAGAAAAGCAGCAACAACCAAAAGTCAAAAACCTTTCTAACAATCAACTTTACACTCATTTTCAAACATTCTCCATCATAGCAGGAAAAAAAAAAAAAAAAAAAAAAAAAAAGAAACACCTCAATGGTTGTGTCATGTACAGAAATGACAAGCATTCATCTTTCTATAGAATTGACAAATAATCCAATAATCATAATGGACTCAGAGTTGATAATTTCATCAAGATGGCGGTTAGTTTTCAATACATTATAGAAATCAAGTACATTTCTAATGAAAAAGAGACATAAACAATGGACTTACATTTCCCCACTAATTAATAGAGTTGAAAATAATACAAGCCTCATCAAAACTTATCGAGGAAGCAACACATTTCAAGAATTACAAATTTCTAGTCAAAAAGGCAGTGTGTACTAATTTGTATAGAAGGGAGATGCATCAATTTTGACAAAAAGATCAATGAAAAAGCAAAGGTTTTTTTTTGCTTTTTGACATGATCATCTGTTCACATTCAATATATGTGAAAATTTTCTCATCAACACAACCTTTACAGGTAAATGATGTAAAGCAAATAAAACAGCTGAATTTTATTTGCACATTAAAAAATAAAAAATTTTTCAAATAACATTTAATAGCCCTTGATTCAGGTATGTATAAAAAAAACAAAAAAAAAAAACACTGTTTTAAGTGGCTACTTAAATATTTCTTTTCAATTGTGCATACAACAGGTTCAAATGGTAGCCAGAAAAATGACCACCAAAAGAAAAAAAAATGGTAAAAAAATCACAATTGAAATTAGAAATGAAAAATTCAACTTTTCAAATAACTTAGTAAGTAATAGTAGAGCAGACATAATAGTCTTCAATTGTCTGAATCTCTTAGATGAAGCATTTTCATTAATTTTCAAAATTATTTTTTCTTTCACTTTTGTTGCTTTCCCCCCCTCTTTTTAAAATCATAAGTTTCAGGTTGTTTTACATTCTGTGACTGTCAAGTAAGCAGCAGGGATCAGAAAATAAAGTATCCACAAGATTTGAACTCTCATCTTTGGGAGTCAGTTTAACATGGACAACAATTTTCATACAGATATACCATGTTGCTTGCTTAATAGTTGTAAAACAAACCCAGTTTTGATAAAAAGCAACAATGAGAAAAAAAGAAAGAAAAATTATTTAAAAATTAATAATTCCAAATAACTTAGAGAAAATCTTCAATCTAAAAACAAAGACATTTAGTGCTGTGTCATTGACTTTAAAATAAAATCAATAATTAGATACACACTTTCTTGGCAACAAGGAAGATTTGCCACGATTTCCTCTGGGTGCTGGTATGCCACGAGGAGTCAGATCCATACTTGGAGGAAGGAGGCTTTAATTGCAGTGGATTTCAAAACCCTTTAGTCCCTATTTAAAAAAAAAAAATAAAAGAAAAAAAAAAGGGAAGATATTGCAAAGGAAGTACAAAATCAAAACAATTCAAAGAATTTCTTTTATGTCTATTCTTTTATAATTTTGAGTGAAAAAGCCTAAGTTTATTATTTCTGATTTAACATTAAAAATAATTTCCATAAAACAATTTTATTTCTTCAGTATAATCTCTATCAGTTTTTTTTTTTTTTTTTCTTAGAATTGCTTTAGATTTGTATATTATTGAGATTGGAAAATAAACTGTTAGTAATCTTTCCTCAACAATGAAGTAAGCACTTGCCAACTGTTGTTTCTGATAAATCAACAAGAAAACAACAGTTTTGAAAAAAAGTGCCATCAATAATTTTCATTTTGATAAAATATAGGAATTTCACCCTTTTACTTAAACCACTATTATTATTATTCACAATTTTTTCTTTAGAAACAGAAGAAAAAAAAATTAAGGATATTTTTGTAGTTGTAAATCCAACATTTTAGACTCCAGACTTTATTAACCAGCCTTATATTTTTTATTGAAAAAAAAAAAAAAAAAAAAAAAAAAAATTCATAAGCTTGTTTGTACAATCATTCTGTTGATTTTGCAACAAGGTTACAAATGTTGATGATAAAAATTTGCAGATTGGGTGTCATATTTCTGTCAAATCTTAAAGAAATGATTGAAATGCATGATTTTCTTACATGAAGCCACAACACTTGAACCTTATTACATAACAAAAAACATTGACGTTGTCAATGGGAATTCTGTAAAACTTTAACTGTTATTTCTGAGAAAAAAAAAAAATTGTTGAATCAAAGACAGAAAACATTGTGGACATAAAAATCTATTTCAGAATTTTTCTAATCTGCATCCAAAATGGAATTTGCAAATTTCTCCCCAAATATATTTCAACCTCTGTTGACAGGCTAAAAATGGTTGCAGAAAACAAATTAAGAAAAAATCCTTCCAGCACCCAATAGGAGCAATAGTTTTGTAAAATCTTCTCATTTGAAGCAAATTCTCATAAAAAAAAAAAAAAAAAAACAAAACAAAAACAACACAACAATTCTTTCAATAAGGAAAAAATTTTGTTAGCTTTCCAGCTATTTTGAAATCATCTTTAGAACAATAAGACTATTAATAAAAGGAAAAATTCAATAAAAAATAACAACCAGTAAAGTTCCATCAAGTTTATTAACACATTTAACAAGGAAGATTGTCCAGTATGTGTTAGAAACACTACAACCATAGAATGGATTTATAAACATCTTTTCATTTGAACCTTAATGCTGACAAAGGTGGAGATTATTGCTGGACAGCTGACCAAGACATCATATTCTACAATGTGAAGAGGGGAAATAACTTCAAACAGCTTTGGGAATAACTATTTCTTTGCAATATCTAATGAGATGTTAAATAGAAATATGCAAGTACACCAATAGGTTTGTAGATGAAAAAACATAGCATTTATTTCACATGATAAATTTTTTAAACCACCTCCCATTTTGATGTACTAAATTCAGTAATGAACATTAATCCAGATAAAAAAAAAAAAAAGGCTGCTGTTTCTGTAATGACTACTTCCACGTTCTTTAGAGAGATGTTGGTTCCCAATTCTTGTTAAGACTACAGATTGAATCCAGAAATAACATACAGACTAACCATATCTGTGGATTTTAGATATTAAATCAGTATTTTTGCTGCTAATAATGGCAAAATGAGCCTTTATTTCTAGAAATGTAACTACATAAATTGGGTCTTTTTGCAAAATATAATGAATAAACATCACAACAGTTGAATTTCTTTTCAATTACAGCCAGTTGTTTTGGAACAGTGATTAGTTACATTTCTTTTATAAATGTTCACCCACAAGAATAATATTGGAAAAAAAAAATTGATAAAATGTAATGCTTATATTTACAAATTGTAGTTGGTCAGATCTTTCTCAAAAATGGCAAAAGATTAAATTCATTTTCAAAATAGTACAAATGACAAAGTGGAAAAAAGCTTTTGTGTGATACATTTAGTCCCTTAAAACTTCATTGGACAAAACACTTTTTCCACTTTGTCATACATCTTTACTCCAAAACTGTTCTTGATATATAAAAATTTTATACATTGTCATCCCATAATAATATATACAAAAATTATTCCTTTGTTTCAAATGCTGGCAAAACTACAGATAAAAATAGAAGTTTAGATTACTTTTTTTTTTTATGAAAGGCTTGTCAATTTCTGGAGTGTTTAGCAACTTTTAAAATATTGGGTGCTTGTTTTGAAGAAATCAAATTTTGTTTACAACAACAATCTCTGCCTTTGTTATTCTTTCACACTCAATTGATCTTTATTAGAAGTACATTAATATGAATCCACTGGACAAAATTGTGTTCAAATCCAATTTGTTCTAACATGCAATTACATACAGAAATATTTTCAGTCAGTTGCCATGAGAATTTCAGTTTACTTCAAAAGTACAAAAAAACTGATACTAGTATAAGGATCATCTTATTTTCTGCCAAGTTTGTTAATAGACAAAAATTGGATGATTTTCTTTTAGATTACATCATAAATGCAGACAAAATTACAAACTTCTGCGGCCAAATTTAAATAAACTTATGATTTTCTTACATAAAGAAATATTAGACTACTGTCAAGATTATTATTTAGCAAAACTGAATCTGTGAATAGTCCAGGAGATATTTTTTTTTTTTGAGATTGACAAAGTGAAAGTACACCAGTACAGTGTTTTGGTAGGTTTTATAATAAATAAGTCTGAGCAAATGGACAAGTTCGGAAACGTGCAGCTATGCTGAAGGTGAGAAATCACTGATTTGCAGTGTGCCTTCAAGTTTAAAAAAACAAAACAAAAAACGAATGTAACAAATAGTCAGGCCAATTTTAGCTACTATAACTTTCAAAGTTTACATAAAATTTTAATAAAGCACGATTATCAAGATTATCCAACTTTCCAATTATCCCGATTTTATCAAAACATGCTAAAAGCAGTTTTTTGGGGTTTTTTTTTAAGTTTTTAGGAAAATGTTTTTGAAATGCAAGTTTTTCATCCTGAACTTCCCTAAAAAGTTCACTTAAGCTGTCAATTTACAAATCGATTTACTTCAGTTGAAAATGACTTTCATTTAATTAAAATAAAATTATCAATATATTAAATTTTTGTTAATTTTTTGCTTCAATTTTTTTTTTTATTCGTCCAGTAAACGGAACAGCTTCATTTCCTGGAGGAAAAAACAAAGACAAAAAAACGGTAATCCAAATGTAAAATAAATTTCATTATGTTTTTTTTTTTTTTATTTTCCTCTTTTCATTCAGTCTTGATAAAAACGAGGAAAGATGTCCAAGGTAAGTAACGTTTTTTAAGCAAATTGTTTCCGAGAGTCCCCTTTTTTAAAACACTTACATAGTTACATTTAAAATATTTTTAACAGTCTGGATTGTTCATTTCATGCACCTCTTCCTTTCGTATATAAATCATTCACCGCATTTAAAAAAAAAAAATCATTCCTTTAAAAGTCAAGGTGTAGAAATGTAAAAAAAAAAAAAAAAAAAAAAAATGCAATTGATGATAATTTCACAGCACAAAATAAAACAAGAGAAACCAAAGCTTTCGTTATATTATTACTTCTTTTTTTATATTAAAACCATATAGGGAAGAGGTAAATAAAAAGGAAGAAAATATGTTAGAAAGAAGAAAAAAAATAAAATAATCTGCCGGTATCAGAATGCTTCCCACCCCCCTTCACCACCTCATCAGGTCAAGTGTTACCAACAAAAAGCCGATTGAACAAGTCAAAATGAGGGTATTTGAACAGAGATAAATCAATCACAGCCTTCAAATATTCCCTGTTAAAAAAAAGGCAGAAAAATGAGCAAGATTTTTACAAATTAAAAAAAATAAACCTAAAAAATATTTTTTTCAAAACTCCCGCTTGAAAGAAAAGAATAGTCGTTTTTTCCTTTTTTACGGAAATGTGACCCTGTACATTTTGGCTGCTGCTTTGCTCGTCATTATTAATTCAACATAATTAGACATTTTTATAACTTTAAAGTGCCTAATAAGATAGTGCTCAAATTTATTACAATAGAGAAACAAAACGTAACAAAAATAGAAAGAAAAAAAAAACATTTCCATATTGAAAAAGAAAAGAATAGAAACTGCTTTAAGGTCACTTTGTCGAACTCGTTTTCTCGATGATACAAAAAAAGCACATTGAATAAATAAAGAATCAAGAGATTATTTAAATACTTAGTAAATAATGTTTTTCTGTATATTTAACAACACATCGAGTTATATTGACTACTAAAAAACAATATAAATATTTAAAAAAGCGATACTTACTAAGCAGTAGACAATTATTAGACAATGTGCCAAAGAGACGTGTTCGCTCCAAAAGACAATTCAATAATCGCTATCCAAAATGGCGTCTTCACAACGACAACTGCGACGGTCGGCGCTATATCAATTGTAAAACAAAAGTAGATGGCGTATTGATTATGACTTATAGAATTGGAACAAAAATCATACAAATAAATCAACTTTATTTCAAAGATGCTAAAAAAATATTAAATTGTATGAATAAAAATTATACGAAACTGTGTATATAAAAAATCAGATTTCCGGTAAATTTTTACGATAAGAAAAAATAAAATAAAATAAATTTTTGCATGTATTCCCTCATCCAAGAATTTAGTTTTTCGATGTGTATTATATTTTCGATTAATTTTTAAGAGAAAAAAAAAACTAAACTTAAGTTATTAAAATGTTTCACATTAAGAATGTCTTTCCTTTTTTTTTTTTGCTTCACATGAAAAATATTCAAGGTTTATGTTTTTCAAATCACATGTAACTAACTCCGTAAAATCTTTTTTAAAGCTTTTGATAATTTAATTTACTAAACCAAAAATATAAAATGTTCTAATTGAAAACAAA